AGCCACATTCCCAGCCCATTTTTTTGGTTGGTTGTAGGGTTTGAATTCTGGGCCTGGGTGCTGTCCCTGTGCTCTTCAGCTCAAGGCTAGCACTCTACCACTTGAGCTATAGCACCACTTTCAGTTTTCTGGTGGTTTATTGGAGATAAAAGTCTCATAGACTTTCCTGCCCAGGCTGACTTTGAACCACAATACTCAAATCTCAGCCTCTTGAGTAACGAGGATTACAGGCATGAGCCACCAGCGCCCAGCCTGTACTTTTCATTTATGTCCTCATAAGAACTTTCTTGTTTGTGTGGTTTAAACCCAGGACCTCTCACATACTAGGCAAAGTTCCTATTAATGAGATACATTATATATATATGTGTGTGTGTGTGTGTGTGTGTGTGTGTATATATATATATATCATTATATATGTGTGTGTGTGTATATATATATATATATATATATATATGTAGGCATGTATGTATCTATGGCCATCCGGTTTTTGGGGGGGAGGGAGTGTTCAGCACACTAGGATTTGAACTCAAGAAAGCCATGTTCATTAAAACAGAAACTGTACCACTTGAGCAGCACCCCATTTTTACTCTGCTTAGTTTTGAGATAGGCTCTCACATTTTGCCTAGATTGGCTTAGACCACAATCCTATTTACAGTACCTGTTGTAGGTACACACTACCACACCATCTTTTTCTGTTGAGATGGGGTCTTGGAAACTTTTATTTTGGGGGGGGGGTCAGTCGTGGAGCTTGAACTCTGGGCTTGGGTGCTGTCCCTGCGCTCTTCAGCTCAAGGTGAGCGCTCTATAGCTTGAGCCACAGCGCCACAGCATCACTTCTGGTTTTCTGGTGGTTAATCAGAGACAAGAGTCTCATGGACTTTCCTGCCCAGCTGGCTTTGAACTGCGATCCTCAGATCTCAGCCTCCTGAGTAGCTAGGATTACAGGCTGTCGCCTGGCTAAGGGTCTTGGAAACTTTTTGCCAAGGCTGCCCTCAACCTGCAATTTTCTGACCTCAGACTTCTAAGTAGCTATGATTATAGGCACAAGCCAACATGCTTGGTTTTTAATTTATGTTTCTGATAGAAAATTTCTCCTTGTTGCTGTTATTCTAAATGATAGAGCCTAAAAACAGACAAAATTTCTTCTTTTGTTTCCATTATGAAAGCAAAAACAAAAACAATAAAACAAAAACAGATCACAACTGAAAATAAAGCACACTGGGTGATGGATACAGTATAGTTGTATAGTTTATACACTAAAAATTCAAGCATATACTTAAGATCTGTGCATGTAACTATGTATAAGTTATGTCTCAATTTTAAAAGTTCACCCTAATTATTTTCATGAAAGGCTGATTGAGAATGTGTATTTATAAAGACAGTTAAAAAACAAAGTAACAACCAGCTCAAAAAAAATCAACAAACAATGCAAAGGAAAATACAACATAGAGGGAAACCTCTAATTAAGAGACAAGAGGAACCAGGCACCGGGTGGCTCACACCTGTAATCCCAGCTACTCAGGAAGCTGAGATCTGAGGATCATGGTTCAAAGCCAGCTCGGGCAGGAAAATACATGAGACTCTTATCTCCAATAAACCACTCAGAAAAACCACAAGTGGCCCTGTGGCTCAAGGGGTAGAACGCTAGACTTGAGCTGAAGAGCTGAGGGACAGCACCCAGGCCCAGAGTTCAAGCACCACAATTGACCCCCCCCAAAAAAAGAAAAGAAAGAAATATACATCAACACATGCAACATATAAACCTTACTCAAATAAACTATATAAGAAATATAAGATATTTGAGGTGCTCTACAGCCTGATGAAATGTTTACTATTAAGGAATTAATGAATGTATTCTTTTTTTCTGTTGGTCGTGGGCTTGAATTCTGGCCTGGGCACTGTCCCTCAGCTCTTCAGTTCAAGGCAAGTGCTCTACCACTTGAGCCACAGCGCCACTTCTGGTTTTTTCAGGTGGTTTATCGGACATAAGTGTCTCACCGACTTTCCTGCCTGGGCTGGCTTTGAACGGTGATCCTCAGATCTCAGCCTCCTGAGTAGCTAGGATTATAGGCATGAGCCTCAGGAACCTGGCACAATGTATTCATTTTTTAAAGATACGGTTATATACTTTAAAGCATTTTTATTAAAAAGAGAATGCTTTTAAAAGAAAATACTATTTAAAAAAAGAATAAATTAGAACTTGAATAAAAATGAAGTCCTGGTATTAAAACTACAATGTAATGCCTGGCTTTACTTCAAAATAACTAGGAAAATTAGATGAAAGATTGACTGTGATTTGTTATTTGTTTAAAGTGTTAAGTGAGAGGTACATGGGGATTCATTATTCTCTTGATGTGGGGGAGTGGTTCAGAGAGAAAGGTAAGTTTAGAGACTTAGTTTATTAAACTTATTTTAGAAAGTTCAAAACATATACTGTCAAAGCCCATGGTTTTAGCTGGATGGGGGTGGCACTTATCATACCAGAACTTAGAGAAGCTAC